TCTCCATGGCAGCACTTGGTGCGTAATAAATGTGAAAGAAGGGATATCACTTTCTAGGAGTGTGTCGTAGAGGTGATCGGGGTGAGGGGCTCCCCAGTGAAAAAACCCAGGGCAGACCCAGAGACCAGCCCTCTCGCAGACACCTGACTGGTCTCTGAGACATTTCACTGAGCTGGATCTTTATTGGAAAATTGCAGTTAGAACCAGAGTGTTATGGATTGAATTGTGTGTCCCCCAAATTCACATGTTGAAGCCCTAATCCCCAGGGTAATGGATTATATTTGGAGACGGGGGCGCCTTTCAGGAGGTAACTAAGGTTAAAGAAGGTCATAGCGGTGGGGCCCTAATCCGGCAGAACTCGTGTCCTTACGAGAAGAGGAAGAGATACCAGAGACCCGCCTCTGCACCTGTGAGAACACAGCGAGGAAGCAGCTGTCTGCAAGCCAGGAAGAGAGGCCTCGCCAGAAACCCGGCCTGCTGGCAACTCCATCTCGAGTTTCCAGCCTCCAGGACTCTGGGACAATAAATTTCAGCCGGTCAGGACACCCAGTCTGTGGTATCCTGTTAAGGAAGCCTGTGCAGATTCATGCAGTGTACTGTAAATCTAAGAATTTCCCATTGACAGCTGTATTCAACAAAGGTTAATCTACCTCTGAAGAAAACAAATTTAAACGTTATTTGCTGGCGAAAAGAAAATTTGCAGTCAATTATTTTGTCGTGTCCTCCTTTACATGTATGAGGCAAATTTTTACCTATAAAGGATGTCATTCATTGTCCTTTTCCTCATTGGGAAAGTGGTTTTTTAAAAAAGAAAACCTTGTACACATCCCTAGCTAGTCCTCAGGAAACATTCTCAGCATGAGAATTACAAAGTTGAAGGTGATGCATATTTTAAGGCTATCTGAGAAGTATTTCCAGAGTGCTCATCAACCAAGTTGAACCGATTTACACTCCACAGAGCAGCGGATGAGAATGTCTATTCCAAATACTCATGCCACCCCTGAAGTTTGTTTTTCATTTTATGTCTTAGTTTGGTGTCTCCCGGAAGCAGAAAGATTCCCAGCTTTCCCAGCTCTTGGTGTGGCACGTCCTTGCCCCCAGGGAGAGAAAGAGGCCGACATTTAGGAGTCTCTACCTGACTCGTGTAGCCCATTCTCCCGTGTGGATCGGAGGTGGCTCACAGGTTAGGTTACGTCCTCAGGTCACCTGCAAATAAACGCTTGGCGGGGATCTCACCCATAAACTTCATCAAACATCAGCTCGGATTATGGCCCCTAAGGCTTTTTTTATTCTCTGCATCCTGAGACCGTGTACTGTACTGTACTGTCGGTGGAGGACAGCATGCGAGGTGATCCATGTGAAAAGTGTTTTGTCAACTGGGAAATGCTTTATTCACAAAGTGGTAGTGTTGGCACAAAGGATCCTTTTAGCAGCTGACCTTCCCCAGGGGGGGAAAGCTCAGCTGAAGTGGGTTCACTAAAGGCAGATGAATCGATGTGCTGTAGCTGAGGGCCCAACAAGGCACAAGGAGGCGGCTCTTCCCACTGCTGGCGGGAGGCCCCAGCAGGGCCCAACGCCCTGGGCTCGGGACAAGGCTCCTGTGGTGCCCGGCTGAGGACCCCGAGGCTACATGCTGAGAAGCGGCCCCAGCCGTCCAGCATCTCACTGGAGAATGGCAAGTCCAGACCTGGAGGGCGCCGGCCTTCCTGAATTCACACCCAATTCGAAGGTTATTATCTAAGGAAACCGAGGTATCTCCTTCAGAAAACGATCGTACTGGAAGATATTTGGAACGTAAACGTATTCTCCAAGGAAAATTGCAGACGACTACAGTAATTCATTCACTTTGTCTGTAAATAAGAAATGTTAATGTAACGATATAAATAACCCGCTCTTTAGCTCTTCGGAGGATGGCAATGGGGAAAACTGAAAAATAAGGATCTCGCAATTACCGGCTGAACCACATTCTGAGAACTAAGATGGAAGGTGAAGATCCCAAGTTGAAACATCTCTTTACAGGCTGCTCAGTCACACCGTAAAGGGCGTCTGCGTTTTACGAAGGACTCCAGCATAGGCCCAAGCGTCTCCACACTTATCCTGACTCCGGCAGAGCTTCGGGATCCTGGGAAAGGTAGGTGTGTGTGAGGTCCTTGGGGGCGGTGGGAGGAGTGGCTTGTCTTGAGGTTTTTCTGGGATTGAAGTACACAGCTTCTGAGCTACAGCCGACCTACGTGACACAGACGATGTAAATGTCGGGGTCGCACTGGTCACATGGTACAATCATTCGTACATACAGTTTATGCAACTCGTTTTTGCGGGAAACAACCTCCCGCGTCTCTTCATCATGATGTAAAAAAAAACAACCTGTCAGGGAATGTGAACACCGCGTCCATTCTTGCGACGAGCTCCGTGAACAAAGCGGGGGAACCTCCGTCTCGCGCCCTTCCACCCCACGTTCCCCGATCGTTGCGGAAAGTGTTTCCTCCGCGTTCCCGCCGCCCTCGCCCCTAACCCGGAGGCCGTGAGATGTTTGTTTTCTCGGCCATGGTAGCAGTTTCTTAGCATCTACTGTGGACGCAGAGAGCAGGAGGCTTTATAAACGTTATTTATATTAAACATACAAATGTTTTTTTTTTTTAAAAAAAGAGGGGTGCTCTGAGAAAGCAGCTGTGGGGTCCACTCCCTCATGAGGAAACAAAATGCATGCGTGCAGGAAACAGAAACCTGGCCGGGGGTTTCGACCTGCCCGGGCTCTCTGGTGCTGCCTGCGTGTTGGGTCCCCTGGTGACCTTTGTGTTCTTTGACCCCATGTTCCTCTGAATGGCCATTAGCTGTACA